TACACCATATACATCTAAACAATGATATAAACATCTACAAGTTTCCATAATGTATTTTGCAAAGACAGCTTACACCATATACATCTAAACAATGATATAAACATCTACAAGTTTCCATAATGTACTTTACAAAGACAGCTTACACCATATACATATATTGAGATAAAACTCCTATTGTTTAGACAAAGCTCCTAATGAAATGAATTAATATCATGAAATACAGTTAACGGGATGGCAAGGAAAATCCATGAATAAATTAATTCTTAGTGACGAAACATGAGTTACACGATTTGTCACTATACATCCTAAGTTAATTGTCTTCAATAATTTTACCAAAGATATTAGATAAGGAATAAAAATAAGTTCTGTAAGGACCAATAACAAAGTGAATTTTGGTTACAGTCTCATGGAACAGTACACTTCTTGATAGAAGATCCCACTTGTACCAATCGAGTTAAAAAGAACTAATTTTTAAAGTAGATCTGCTAAACTTCTTGAATAATCAGAAAAACACCAAATATTGTGTATATAATTTTGTGTTTCTAACCCTAAACTTCACTTCTCTGCACTTACTAAGTCAATCCAGGGAATTGTTATGACTCCATAAGATGGAAGCTGGCAGTAATCCAGAATCTACAAGAAGTTTGCCAAACAAACTCCTTGTAAGTATGCTATTTCTGATCTAGTCTAACAGTGTTTCACTTAAGGTTCAATAATGTATAATATATAAAGTGAAGAACATTAACTGTACTAGAATCTACTATTTGAAAATGTTTAAAGTGCAACTACTAAGATATCTTAGAAAAATTGTTATTACAGTTATACAGATTAGGACTGAGAGGATTTCTTGAGTTAATTTAGTTGATAACTTAACTAGTGTGTCTATGTTACTGAACATAACAGAATGCCTCATTAATGAACACCTAGAACTAATAATTCAATGATTTAGAGTTAGTGTTACTTCAAGATAACCTTGAGTGTTTTGATATAGATGAAATGTTCAACAGTGTATAAATAGAGTAATTATTTGATTTGTATTCAGTTGTCCCTGTGCGAGTTCTTTATTCCATACGTAAACTTCCTCGAGTTGGTGGCTTGTGTGCTCTGCTCGTGAAAGCACAACCCAAAATACAAATAAATTTCTTTGTAATGAGTGTCAAATCCAACAACTATGCCCACATGTTGGCCAAACATCAGTTACATGTTAGAGGCAGTTGGGAAAATCAGTTTTTGAATGATATCCACATTTATCAGTATTATATAAAGCTATAAATATAAAAAATAACACAAAGTGTGTCAAATTTGATAAATATTAAAACAGTTTTCTGAATTAAAATAACATACTAATTTTAATGTCACTGATATTCATATTCCAGATTGTTTTAAAAATAAGTACATTAATACTTCATTCATTACAACAGGTCACTAAACAACCCCATTAGAAACTTACCAGTGTTTGACAAGGTCATTTATAAACCTCTAAATGTAGTTACAGATTATGCAACAAGATGGCATATGGAAGAAAGTGAAAGACCTACACCAAAAGCCATAAAAGCAACTGACTAGCTGTTCATGCCAATGCTAAGTTAAAAGAAGTATATACTATATCTGACACACACACAAAATATTACCTTTAGTAGGATAGAAGCAAAATATTTAATCACACAGTAACAAGAAAAGTTACCACTGTGCTATTTTCTTGTACAAGATGCCTTGATGCAGTAATTTACACAAATACCAAATAAGTTAATAGAGAAGCCAACTTACAGACACATCTACTTGGAACACTTGAAAGCATTTAACAAGTCTTATTTAAATATTTAAATTCTCTCTCTCCATACCATTTTCTCCATGAGACAGAATACACAAAATGAATATATCATAAGAAGAATGATCCATCATGGCCATCTTTGTTACTTCTTTCTCAACATCTGTACTGGTCAGATTTTCCAAAACTTCAACTTTAAAGTGGAATTTTTTGAACGTCCTCATCAGTGCATCTAAAAAAGACAGAAAAAGAAGCAATAGAAGACTGAAAAGTGTTTTTGGTATTTTGGTTAATACAACATTTAATCAATTCACAAATACCATTAAATCTCCTTTACAAGCCAATCAAACTTCCCCATGTTGATATGGTACTCGAAACGTAAAGCAGTATCACACTCTGAAAACACAAATATGTCACAATTTAAAACACATTATACATCGTTCACAAAACAAATTTTTATATTCAAATGGCAGAACAGCCTTAAAAACACAATTGCACAAGCTAATTCATTATAAGGTGGATCAATTGCACAAGATCAACTGCATAAGCCAATTCATTATAAAGTGGATCAACTGCACAAGCCAATTCATTACAAGGTGGATCAATTGCACAAGCCAATTCATTATAAGGTGGATCAATTGCACAAGCCAATTCATTATAAGGTGGATCAACTGCACAAGCCAATTCATTAAAAGGTGGATCAACTGCACAAGCCAATTCATTATAACGTGGATCAACTTGCCAAGCCAATTCATTATAAAGTGGATCAATTTCACAAGCCAATTCAATATAAAGTGGATCAATTTCACAAGCCAATTCATAATAAGGTGGATCAATTGCACAAGCCAATTCATTATAACGTGGATCAATTGCACAAGCCAATTCATTATAAGGTGGATCAACTGCACAAGCCAATTCATTATAACGTGGATCAATTGCACAAGCCAATTCATTAGTTAGTTCTTGATTTACTCACCTTTATCAACCTGAGTACCTGTTCTATCTGCCAGCTGTGGGTCACTGGCCATCTTTATAGATCTTTAGTTAGTTCTTGATTTACTCACCTTTATCAACCTGAGTACCGAAAGGTTTTTTTACCTTTTTGTTGCTTTGGCTGATACTTTCATCTTCTCCAAGATCTTAATCATTTGAATTCTCTTATCCCTTTGGTACTGACTTCACTCCTTCCATGTTCAACAATCTCCTAAACTGGCACTTTGACACATTCTAAAAGAGACCTAACTGGACAGGTATTATAAGATAGTTTATAAATAAATGGCATCCCAAGAAAAAGTCTTGATCAAAAATTATATTATAGATTAGCTACATATCTATCTAGGTGTTTTGACTTACTTTTTACTGATTTTCTTCTATTGCTTTTTTTTTACAGGAGATACAAGTGGCTTCGTGTGTTACCCTATCACAAGAAAACCATGTGGATTAGCTTTCATTATCAACCAAGAGATTTTTTATAAAGATGGCCGTGACCCACAGCTGGCAGATAGAACAAACTATATGGTAATATCGAAACCAATACTCTACTGGATATGATACTCTTGATATGTGGAAAGAACAGGCTAAAAGGTAAGGTAATCAAAACAATGGTCTTGTGGTCTCATGTCCAGAAATATGAATATGTTTTACTATGTTCTGCTCATTGTCCCATCATCATGTGCCATACACTCAAAGCAGGTAAACTGTCATGGAGTGCCACTGTTCTCTTCTCTCTGCCATTCTAACACAGTTACTGCTCCCATCCAGTCCTTGATGTTATCCATCCACATATTTCTTGGTCTGCCTAATTCCCCCTTTTTTACATTCATTTTTCCTTCTTGCAACCATCATTGTATTCCATTTCTTCTTATCAGGATGTCCTGCTTAACCCTAATTCTCTATTACAGAATGGAAGAAAACAAAGACAATTGTATCTATTACCACCATGGATTCTCTATTTTAACTGGATCTCATAAACATGCACATCAGTATTTCCTTACAGCATGTTTCACTTATAAACATTTGGTGAAAGGTCCTGTGTTTGAAAACTAGTAAGAAGAACTGAGCATATGAGCCCATCTCTAAGATAAGTTAAGTAGTTATGGGCATAAACTGAGAAGGGTAGCACTCCATGACAGTTTACCTGCTTTGAGTATATGGCACATGATGATGGGACAATGAGCAGAACATGGTAAAACATATTCATATTTCTGGACATGAGACCACAAGACAAGAAGAACTGAGCATATGAGCCCATCTCTAAGATAAGTTAAGTACTTATGGGCATAAACTGCTTCCAGCCTCACACAGACCACTCAGAAGTGTATGCTGCTGCCAGCCTCACACAGGCCACCCAGAAGTATCTGCTGCTTCCAGCCTCACACAGGCCACCCAGAAGTA